GGGAAGAAGGAAAAATGAAAACTACAGCAAAAACAAACGGCGATTGTCCCGTCTATAACCAAAACCTTAACAGAGTGTAGAGTTGAAGGGATATGGAAGAAATAAACTCAGATGCAAAAGTAAAGCAACCAGATGCACCACAAAAGTTTGCATCAGGAGGGATTTCCACAAACGTTAGCACAAAGATCTTACAATAATAGAAGACAAATGGAATAATAAGCTGTCAGTTTCCAAATACAGATGGTTTTGTTTGTTCTTAGCAGGTGGGATGAACTTCTATTGTACAAAATACCAACACTCGGAGCTTTTCCAAACATCCGTGCCAGATTGTGTTTCAATAGGCCATTCAAATCACTATTTCGATAAACAGCCAACCAAGATATTATATGGTACAAATCTCTGTCTATAATTTCAAATATTCCACACTCCCATTATTTGCGACTCCTGGGTTATTGGCATTAAAATGGAGTCACTAAAGAAAGTTCGGATAGTATCCAACGCCCCATCAGGTCTGCAACTGAATTTGTCCAAACCTGTTAACTTTCAAACTTTTGTCGTCGGACTCCAAAGTGGATGTTTTTAGATCGGTTGGCTGACCGGTGTTCTAAATTAGCTGGATATTTTTGTTGTGGCACAACGATTATGTGACATAAATCTTTTCAATTTTTCGGGAAGCCGGTATATTTTATTAGAAAATTTTATACATAAAAGTGAAATATTTAGATATTGGTGGATGTCCAGTTTTGGTAGTTTAAGATTTAGTTTTTGTTTGCTTCTCAGCCTTAATGAAAGCATAACAAATATCCCTTCTCTCGTCTGCTTCAAATAGTTGTATTTCTGTCTTGCTCAGCAGTAACAGTTTGTGTACAGATATAATGACTAATAAATGACAGGCTGCAGGACGTCTGCGCAGTATAAATAGACGCACCGATAATTCCTGTGCTATAAGATACAGCTTATATTCTGTCATTATAGTCAACCCCCAGAACACTAGATGTTGTCACAATGCCCTTTTGACGGGGTCTGATAGTTATAACCATGTTTCGAAGTAAAAGATAGGCACCGAATCGGCCTCTAGGTTTTAGTTCTCAGACATAAGCTTACACAGATATGTGCATTGATGACATATGCATAATAGTCTAAATTAGATAGCAATCAAGTGCTTTTTCGTCATGAACCAGAAAAAAAAGTAAACCTAGAATCTGTTATGTTGTTCAACGTGAAGGAATGTGACTCAATAAAATTGACTGATAAGAAAACCGAGAATAATCTCAATGGCATGAAGCTTGTCTTTTAATTGACCCTAGATCAAGCCACTCCATAATTAGGCGTCTGAAACTCAGCAATCTCTCTCTAAAAGGGAGTCCAAGATCACGCCTGTAGCAGCGAACTACATTAAACGGAAAAACTTCACACTTCAATGTCCCACTTACTATCTTCAAAATGTTGTCATAGGGACCGAGCCAGACAGGCCATGATTGTCAGCCACTAAGGAAGCATACTGGGTGGTATTTTGAAGGCGAAAAACGCTTATAAATAGTACACTGTAGAAACTGGGCTGATCACTGGATAAGTGGAGAAGTAGACTTCTCCTGCCGGTGGACCCACTTCGTTCTACCGATTAAAGAAACCAGAATAGTAGTGAATGAACCTTTACTTTTCAGTTCTGAAAGATGTAGTGAAGCACGAGATTACCTTTCCAAACGCACAATGCTCTTCAATATCTAATACAGAATAATAGGAAATATAATTTCTACAAAATAAGAAGGCGAATAAATACTTGAGCAATAATGTTCTGATATTTACTAGGATGTCTGCAGCCAACTCTTAACCAATTAACGTAAGTTGCTACACATTGATGTTAATTCATTTTGAACAGACTGAACCTGACCACTGAATACACAAATTCAATCACAAGACTGTTCATCCCGTATATCTCGTCACTGTTAACTAAGTTATTCCAAGTGATATTTGACTCGTTTGAGATGGGGGCTGGTACTTTTGAATCTTAGTTTGACAAATCTCTAACCCTAAGTGCTGTTAAAGTCGGTGAGATGAAACAGCGACTTACAAAATACTTTGATAGAAACATAAAGCCAGGTTCCAACCTCACTATGTTGAAAACCATAATGGACTCAACGGACTAAAGAGTGAATTACTGCATAGTAATATCTTTATAAATATGATTCACCTCGTAATTGTTTTACTGAAAGATGGTTTCTCAGTCATTTGATATCTATACAATAATGTGATAGGTTTACATTCATAATTTTTGAAGATCAGATGAATACTTTTATACATTTTGTAGTAACAGATGCGATACTGTAGATGTGGGCTGTTGTTTTACGAATCACATTCCACCAGAGTCCATAAATTTTCACCTATCATAGTGTCATCAGGATGCCTCATGATGCACCTTGAAGGGTACTAATGTATCTTGATTATTTGGTTTTCTTTGAATACAACCCAAAGCCCTTTCGACCCACCATGATTCAGCACCTTAAGCAGTTAGAGAAGATCTTAGATTTTATTCGTTGGTGACTTCAGCTTATCAGGAAGTGTCGCCCAATGAATCTAACGGAAAAGCCTGTAGGTTGGATTTTGTTTTGCCTGGCCACGCACTGGAAATTACAGACTCCCTAGTTTATCAATCTTTGGGGTAAAATAACTACACCCTCTACTCACTGGACCACTTGGTAAAGGATATATCTGACTTATGGCCCAGATGACATAATATAAAGCAAAGTATTACGCTATACATTTACTCAGAAGGATAGACGAACCTCTGAAACGTAACTGTAAGTTTATACACAACCATGTGATGACACTATACACCACGTTGATTATCACGGATCAGAATTCCATAACAATACACTGATCTCAATGTTATGTTGCTTAACTTTCTACCAGGAGACTTAAATTTAATTATTTTTTGCCCTTCGTACATATGTCCAGTAACTTTTGTCTAAATGCCTCCCAAGCTGATCTAAATTTAATGCAGTCTGAAATTCTGAAAAGGGAAGGTAATTTGAGGCACTTGAAAACATATAGGCCTATTGTCCCAGATAACTTCTAACCCGGAGTTCTGAAGGAATATGAAAACCTTTGCTCTCCTCTCGTCACTCTTTTCAAGTGTTTTAGTTAGTGTTTACCTACCACCAGACTTGAAAATAAGGATGGCTATATCTATACATGACGGAACGACGAGGAGGAAACGCTCGACTACCGAAACGTTTCTCCTCTCATAATAGCAAAGGTTAAGTGGAAGAGTTGTCCGTAAGTTTCTTTGCAGCCACATCCTAGGTAAATCCGGTTTCTCCAAAACTCAAAATGGCTTCCAATGTAGTAGAACCTGTAGCAGAAACATGTTGACTTCCTCGATAGGTGAATCATTAAACTAGGAGGTTTATTGGCATGTTGATCTCCTACACGTCTTCAAGACGTCGTATTTTGCAACAGAATCATGGTTTTATGGGCATAAGCGGAAGTCTGTTGATGGGACTCTAAAATTTTATAAACAAAGATGGAAAGCCATCAGAGTTCTATTAACTTCCACAGATTGGTTTTTATGACAATTGGGATACCTTATGACTCAACCCTTGAATCACTACTATGACCTAACTGGCTCTGTAGACTCTTAAAATGTCCTTTTCTCAGTTGATTCTAAGGTCTTGTGAGGAGTAGTCATCCTAGATGATGCATAAGATGCGCAACTGAACAAGCGCATCTCCTTACCTCTTAACAATAACGAATCCCGAACATTGATGGCTAACGCCAATATTACTTTGCCCAACTTGTATGTTCTACGAGATTCTAGTGCTACGTCCTCTACTACCGAGGGCACTTGAATATGACTGTCCATGGTACTCTAGGTACCTTTTCCTAAAGATACTCTACAGCCAATGAAGTATAATCACCCCTCGGGTTTCTTTCTAGAACAGTCGGAAACCTGGCAGAAAATTTATTCAAAAGTGTTTCTAGTATTTACGTCAGGTCGTATCAGGAAGAGCACTCGGATCCTGTTCACTCAGCTTTAGGAGGATATTGCTTTATTAGAACGTGCTCATAGAGGATCTATAAATGTGCGCGGATGAAAAGCCAAACCTTGCTCGACTACAATGATAGGTCTTGACCGACGGCCTCTTAAGTTGATAACTAGTGGGGATATGATTTAGCTCTTTTATCAACTCAGTGTCATTCACAAAACGAGTTCTGGGTCCCAAACTCTCATTATCCTTGACTCTTTGAAAGACAACTGACTTGTTACTACGATCAATTCAATTTCCTAACTATTAATTCAGGGACTGGCCTCCCTTCAACAACATTAGGTTGACTCTTGTACTTATTTTGTACCCGTTTGTCAGCTGTCCTTGGAGTAATAATTTCACGATCCTGGATGATTTTGTTGACTCGGATAGTCGGATTGTTGCTGTCAATGGTGGAAACAGACCTAGCCTTGTTATTAGGTTTTCAAGGCGTTTTGATCAAACTTACTCATACCACGCTTTGCACTTACCGCACTGCATTCCACATCCCACTGGGTATCAGGGGCTTGTGTGTCGACAATTAACTTTCTTGCCTTGTCCAGTCATTAATCAGAGATTTTCAAAACATTGGAATCAAAAACACGTGGAGACAAATATTTGCTGACCAGAAAAATGTGATAAACCGTAAAACGTTAGGTCCAAATTTACAAACAAATACAAAAATACAGACGACAAACCGCCCTTGAGAAAAAACGACATTCTTGAAGTTACTCAAACTGAAATACATTCAGTTAAAATGGAAACAGTAGTTTCGATGCATAATAAACGGCCGAAACAATTAAATTAACTCTGTTTTTTAAATAGTGAGTAAGACACGTGCCTTACAACATTAAATTTTACTTAGCGAGGGTAGATTAAGATGTTGTTTCGTCTAATATACAAACTGCCTATTTTTATTAAGCTTTTAAAAGTTTGGTTTTCTTCGTTTAGTGATACTATGAATCAACGATCATTATGACAACGTTTGACCGCCTTGTTTGTTACTGCATTTACACGTTCTCAATTTTACTCCTTACATGTTGGAAGGCAAGAAGCCAATAAATAAAGAGCACTTAGACTTTTCCAATAAAGAAATGTATGTTTTAATAGGTTGGATGCAATATTTATAGCTACTGCTGTCTAAAAACTATTTATCAGTCTTTTAGCGCGGTTGAACTACGTAACTGGATACATGAAAGTTGCACATTTATCTTTAAATATAGAGAGGTATACAGAATATTAGGCTTTAATAAGTCTAAAAGATACATTTTTCGGAGTTTGTAATTTTTCTGCATCGTTTAAAAACAGTTACAAACGATTCATTCATAAATAACCCACTTCTTTCTGATGAAGCAAAAAGGCATTATCTGAGGGTGTTCATAAAGGTATATTGCTTAATAAACCTGCTTCAATTTTTCAGAATATTGACTATGTAGTTCTATTTAGAACTCTGGAACATTTTCTATCAGAATACGGATTTGATGGGAAATGCAAGAAGTTTAATCTTTGTTTTTTTCGTGAGCAACGTGAGCTTCTTCTCAATATGTTCGACAGTTCAACTGATTCTGATCTAATAAAGATAGGTAGCTGAGTCCTCTTTCCTAATAATGTTTATTCTAGACTCAATAAACCTTTTGAAGTTATTTGACAACTTTGCACCTAATAGCCATTCTGATTTCTTGTCCGCACAGTTACTTTGGGTCAATTTCTTTGCATCGCGACGGTTGTCATACAATCCGGTGCAACTGCTTGATCTGAAGTTTCAAATTTCCGTTACTGCTAGTAAAGTGCTTCACTATAATGGTTACAGTGATGCATCAGAAGTAGGTTTCTCAGCATATATTTTAAATATACGTCATGTGGTGTTTTTTGATTTATTCCGACTCTTATATATTCGTAACTAGGCAGCAAAAGAATGTATTTTGCCTTGAATAAATACACATAATTCATAATCAGATCTGATACACTGAAGGTATCTAGCTATATATGAGTTCGAAAATCCATTGCAGTCTAAAGTAGTAATATTTGACGACTCTTTTTCATAGACTTTTTATGCAACGTTCCAGTGATTTAAATAAAAATCAGTTTTACAGTTAATGTAAAGTTGAATTCGTATTTACTGCCTCGTCCGAGGGCTTTAAAAGAAATTTATTATTACGATTCCCAGTCATTTTTTAAATCAATAATCATAGATATTAGATAATTCTTTCATTCTCGACTTATTACTTTTCTTAAGGGTTCGTTTGTTATCATTTACCATTCTATAGCTGTTTATGATATTTTAAACAACGCAATAAAATAGAACAAATCCTAGTAGCACTTGAAAGAAAACAAGCTAGTGATAGTAAGTTACATTTGAATAGTACCCCAGTAGCCAAGCGTGGGAAAACCGGTAGTAATTGTGAATTCATGGATTAATCACATTATCTGAGGGTTGGAAAAAAAGTCAAGGATTTTTGACATTACAATAGTATGAACATTACCTCCACCAACAAATGAAAATTTGTTTTTAAAATCTTGTAGACAGCTGTTTTGAATTGAGTTGGTCTGTAAAGTATGGTTCGAATGATGAACCTTTTGATTTGCAATACATGAAAAAGCTTTATTACAATAATATATATTTTGAGCTGAGAGTTCTTCGTTGACAACGTCTCAAGGGAAAATTAATTTATATTAGTAAAGTTAATTTTTATAAACTACAATACTGGTGTTCGAATTCACAATTAAATGAAATTTTTATTTTAAATACTATATATGACCTGTTTCACTGAGTAATTTGGTCCTGTGTAAAACCGTAATGATTACTTAAATATGTATAAAAAATCATCACTATTAGTGTTCAAATGAATAACCAAATATATCCGTTATGTATGTCATAAAAATGAAACTTATTCGCTACATCGGAGGCACTGCACAGTTGTTTTATTGTTTACAAAATATATTGATTTGATTGACATAATATGCTTGTCCATTCCTAAAGCACCTGTAAGAGGGCTAATCAATGATCATATATTCTAAACGACCGGACAAAATTTATTATGTGGCTTAAAAATGTGTAATTAAATTCTAGTTAAACAAAAAATATGCAATTATTGAGATAACAGTTAACTCTGGATTTGCGACACTTTAATTTAAGAATCCTGAGATGTTTTAGTAAGACAAAGTGTCTATACTAAATTTCCAAAGGTTTTTTTAAATTCTTAAGATGCTAAGCGTTTTCATTGCAGACAAACATTCGCAATGACATACTGAACTAGAACCTAAACATGACAAGGCTATAGGCTTACTCTAATGTAATTTTTATGGGTAAATTAAATAAAACTGTTGTGTTTGATGTGATTATCAGGAAAAACAACTTTATGACTTGAGTAAAGGCAGAATAATCAGTTTCCACTGAAACAGCTACAGTTGTTCACTGTGATTTGCCCATTATTTATCCACATACACTTGAGCCAGAAAGTCGAATTCTGTACCACACATTATTACTAAAAATAAATGGTGAAAACTCAGAACGATTGAACATATAAGTCACTTTGGATTAAGTTATCAACGTGTACTGAATTTGCGAAATCAGTGAAAATGACATGGGTATTTAGACAGTTTGAATAAAAAGAAATATCAAGTTTTCAACTTACTTGATATTCAATAAGATTCAACTTTAAGTCGTACGAAAATAACTAAGCGTTCAGGGAGATTTGAAATAAGGAAAATGCTAAGAAGTTCTTAAAACCTCTACACATATTATTGATGTAGTAACTATGTGGTTTTATCTTTACATTATTAGAGATTTTAAAAATAATTTTTCAGAAACTTAAAAGAAAAACAAAATAAGTGAGCGAACCATATAAATACTTACATCTCATTTCTCGAAAGTAGCATGTTTACTGAAGTTATTTTTTATTCTCTCTACATGCGCGTTTCAAAATATCGAGACTGTTATAAGTAAGTGGTAACCACATTTATCTTTGTTTTCGACTGAGTAGGCCCTGGCAAGGAAATCGCTGGTTGATTTTGCTGAGATGCACCAACTATGGAACCGGGAGAAAAAATTGATGTCAACCGTTTCCAGTAATTTATTTCACGTGGTTGCTATTGAAGTATGTAAAAACATAAAGTGTCGTTAACCTTTTTTCACTCTTATTACTGCTACCGAATATGCTAAGAAGTTTCCGTAAAGAGGAAGGATATCAAAATTTTTCATTTCTTTGAACATCTAGTACACTTTTTTGTCATTCAGTCGGTATCATTGAACAGATGGTATTCACTCTGCGAACTTTTTCACCAAAGCTGTTACACTAGTTGTTTAGAATGTTTTCGAAAATACGATACAATCTACAAACTATGGGGTTTTAGGTATCATAAAAACACTTTACTCAGTTCGAGAGTTTGAAAGATTTAAAAATACGTGTAATTTATTTTATGTTTACTACTCTGTCAGAAAACTGACATTGAAAGCAGTTCAATATCTACACAGAATTAAGTGCACACATTCCTACTCATAAACAAACTAGTAGTTTGTATATGAACAATGCAATTGTGTCAAAATACTTCGTCTACTCAGTCCCAATTTTTACTTAGATGAAATGTTTATTTTATCGCATTTTCCAAATATTAGTTTCCTTTTCTGACCTGAAGTAAAAAACACCTTAGTTTCTCTTAGTCTGTTTTATGAAAATGGTATTGATCAAACAACCTGTTAGCCAACAATTCGATGACTATTGCTATCAAATGAAACCACGAAAATTCTGGGAGAATGTTCTACCTTTAAGGCGAAATCTCTAGACATGTTGGTTTTGACAGGATTTTTGTTTAAAATTGGCCATTCTGTTAAAAAATATTGAAACCATCCTGAAGACATACGTGGAATGTATTCTGACTGATTTTCAAACACAATAGAATTTAATTTCTTCCAATGCTGTGTTTAAGTTAATACATCTCGCTACTTCGGAAGCTAGACTTTTTGTGAAGATATAATTATGTAGATATCACAAACTGCTTTCAGGCCCTGGTGTTCATGACAGCTTTCTAGTTTTACTAGAGCTTCAAGATATTAGTTTGGTAGAATCTAATTATTTGAATATTTATGTTCATAAAATAGGAACAGTCAGTTTGCTTGAATGCTGATAGTGTATATCATTCATGTGAAAACAGTTTGTTATTCAAATATATTAGCAGATAGGCAAGCTTATCGAATTTTCTAAGTAAAAGGAACCAACTGTAAATTAGTTACTGAAATTTTATTCGAATCAATAAATTTAGTGATAGTTGGGCTTGGATTCATAATTATGACTGGACGAATTCATTACAGCTGAAACATTATTTCATGGGCATAAACGTTGATTAGCCATTATGAAGATAGAATGAATATAAACGTGAGGAATCGTTTATCATGACGTTGATGGAGTAACTTAGAAGAGTTAATAGTGAGTCGTGAATCTTCAAAGGCTGGATAATCAAATATTAAGAAAGGTGAATAAAGAATAAAATAACAAGATGTCTTATGTGTATAAAGCCATTTTTGTTGATACACCAATGATTTGTAATCATCATACTATTTTACTGAAATGAAATCAAGCAATTTAAACTTACACTATCCATTTAGTTTAAACCGACTGATTTATTCGATTGTATAATAACCTAGCTTACAGTATGAATTGTATTGAATAATTAACTAATAAATAAATTTCGATAATAATAATAAACCATTTTATGGTAAATTTTACAATTTAGCAAATGCTTTGTACAACACTATGTCTTATAATATTTATTTCATCATAATCCTTATCTTATTTAAAACACATTCAAAAAAGAGATAACATTTTATGAATTTATAAATGCAGCTTTCTTCGATGGTGTTTAAACGATCTGTCTTTGAATCACGTAAACGTCCTCAAGGTTATCTCCGACCAAAAGTCAGAGTTGAATTCGCTACACTATTACAGGTAGGTTAATTTTAAAGTAATTATTTAAACATAGGAACTATTTGTAGCTTTTTTTGTGAGCTATACAGGATGAGCTTTCTGTGTAATTCAATCTTTGATTCTATCTTAGTTTTTTGAAACATATGGTGAATAAGTAAGATGTTAAATGGTTGGAATGATAAACTTCTGATTATAATAAAAAAATACTTAGGTCAATACAATGAAAATAACGGGGTAATATAACTTACACACGTCAAAAGAAATTTTTGGTGAAAAATTTTCATTTTTTTAAACTGCAACTGTGATGTTAAGAAAGCAGTTTTACTTTTATTAAAAGTGATATTCCATTGTTTCCTTACAAAAAATTGGTTTTTTCTAATGAACCAAAGTCAGACAGATAGATAGAAACAATTCATAATAAAGAACAAATGGTTCTTACTATGCATATTTATGGAAACTCTTCTTTATCGTTAACCGACAAAAAGAAATGTTCAAGATGTTTTGTTTAATGATAAAGCACAATTCTCATTCTTCTTGTATATGTTTGTACATTTCAGAATCACTTTATGAATAAACAGCATATTTATATGTCATTTTGTAAATTCAATAACAGTGACTTGTAAACACCAAGGTTCCCAGGAATAAGATGCTTATCTGTAAAATTGCAGCAGATCTGCTTTTCAGTTTTGTATAATTGTGGGGTATTTAGCGTTTACGAGCATTTTTTCGTTCATTTAGTGAGCGAGTGCTGCACATAAGCGCACAACTTTCACCAGGAATTTCAATTCAAGTTCTTACTTCTACTTTCTTTACTTGTTTCACCTATGAAGTTGAGATGCGCTGTAGTGTTATGTTTATAGAAGACATAGGCAGATAGCTTTATACGATTAAAATAAAAATCCCAATTGAAATTACATTTATATGCACGATGGACCCACTTAATGAACGAAAAACTACTCGAAAACGTTAAATATTTCACTTTTATGGAATGCTAAAAGAAAGATAGTTATTCTCATATGGTTATCACTGTGAGTATGAATTCACGACAACCATATTTAGTTTTCAAAATAGATACTGGTTAACAATGCTTTAGGTGGTGTAACTCACTAATCGGAATTGAATACTCTGCTTTGATTGACATTAGTTTACTTGTAAAGGATAGCAGTACTATCTAGCAGCATAGATCAAAGAGGTTAAAAAGCAGTTTGAAGCTTCAGTACAACGTCTTCAGACTTTAATCTTTCCGATTACTACCTATAATTTTACTACCTTTACCACTACGGGATTCGAATCGACAACTGCATCTCTGTGCTAATGTGGTATGGCAACTCGAACTGATGTACATACGTACAAAATTCTACGTTGTTACCGACTGACTGACTAAAAGTTCGAGTAGATTAACTGTTGCCCCCAAATGCCCTGGTACGGCCGAGAGTGGGGAGAGTCCGCTCTCCCTCTCGAAATGCTCTCACATGGCCACGCGTATATAGCCCCTGCCAGGGAAGTCCTACTCACTGCCTTCTCGTGGCGGGGGTGTTGTTTACGAAAATAAGAGGATGAAAAGCGAATGTCCGGCGCTTTAACGGGATCCCAAATCAATGGTGCACATGGGCTCCAGTATCCTGCCTGAGGTAACAAATGGCGTATGAACCAATCGTTGGTCACCGGCTACCATGGGACTGCATCTCCTCACGATGCTCCACTGCCTTGTGGGTCAGACGTTCAGGTCGAAGGCTCGGGGTGTGGCCCCCTAAGAAAACCACCTGCTTCGGTTTGGGCACCCGGGCAATATCACGGCCCTCACACAAATCAATTGAGATTCGTGTGGCGCATATGTATTTGGTGCCTTCTTGTACCAATACCTATGTGTTAAAATAATAAAATAAATAAATAGATTAACTGTTATCGCGCAGTTCTTTTATAGTTAATGAGTTATATCCAAACTATACTTTTAACGAATAAGTGCCTACTTTCTGTAGTGTTTTTCAATCCTTTTACTTAATTTATTTAGTTCGTAACTTTTAATGACAACTATTTTTACTGATGCAATGAAAAAGATATTCCTAACTTTATTGAATTATCCAGAACATTTTAAGTCAATTCTCCAGTAAAGCAGTTCATGGATTATAATTCCTGTATATTGTAACCGTGGCCTGGTTTCTTAATAGCTCGAATTTATTTATTACCGTCAAAATGTCTTAATTTCTTAAAGTGTTCCACAATAATATATCTACAAATCACTTTGTTTGACCGTTATTCTTTAAAAGTATTTAAAATATTTTCATATTGTATACAGCATTCATGGCCTCGAACAATTACTGAACGTTATCTAAATCAATTAATTCCAAATTCATCTGCTCAAATATTAGCTATTTTAGAAGCATTAAGCTTAAAGCCTGGAGAAAGAAGAAGTTTAATCACACCGAAACCACCAGTAGATTCATCTGATTGGGAAATGTCTGACGTTTATACTGAACTTTATATTGCATCGATGGAGTTAATTTATCGTAAGTAACAATTTACCTGTGTAATTGACTCAAGAAAACATTATGAATTTTAATAATAATAATAATAATAATTAAGATCAGGTTATCTTTTAAGTAACTTACACAAAAAATCAATATATATGCAATTTTCAGAGTTATCAAGTTAGTTTTCTGCGTATTTCGGATCATTATTAGTTATATACAAAATGTAAACAAATTGATTTTGTAGTTCTTCACTCTTAGATAAACTATTGATATTTTGCCGTCATCAATTTATTATACTTGTATGGTTGTCAAATAAAAATGTCTAAAAGTTATCTGGAAACAATCATTTGAATATTAAACGTTGTATTCAATCAGTCAATGACAATTGGCATACGATCTGGTGTGTGTTCATTGGGTAAAGTTATGACACCGTATCAGCGTAGTAAGTTGAATATCTGAGTAACCGGTATAAATGATAAATTTTGAAAAAACGAATAAAATAAAGTGTAAGAAAAAATCGGAACTGAGAATCAAGAGCAAAATAAAGACTGAATGTATCTGTGCTAGTTCGGTGGATTATAAGCGTTGATAACTAAGGTCTCCAAATTAACCAGAATATTATTTTAAATTTTTAAAAAAATATGAGCTTATTCAGTGATAAAAATTGGCTTGGAAAACTCATAACTAAGTTCAAAGAGATTCCAGTTTTCTAACCATGATAAAATTTATTGACCAACCGAAAATACTAGTTTTTAAAGTAATACACAACCTTTTCTGAAAATGTCACATGGGCTCCAGTATCCTACGGGAACAAATGGCGTATGAACCAATTTCTTGGTCACCGGCTTCCATGGGTCTGCATCTCCTCACGATGCTCCACTGCCTTGTGGGTTAGACCTTTAGGTCGAAGGCTCGGGGTGTGGCTCCCTAAAAAAACCACCTGCTTCGGTCTGGGCACCCGGGCAATATCTTAGCCTACACACAAATATAATGATAATAAAAATGATGATATTCACTAAAAACTCTATTCTCGCTGCGATTTTCTGTTAAACAATTCACATTATCATTATTACTATTATTTAACACGTCATTTATTCACTCTCTTTCATTTCCACTCTGTCTATCCTTATTTTTCGACTTATACAGCAGCTCGCCTATGTTGAAAATTCAGCTTTATCTAAAAGTTCTCGAGTCACTGCCTGGTTGAAAATTGTATGTTACCAACGAATATGAGTACTGAAGCAGTTTTTCTGAAACCACGTGCACCATTCAAACTGGCTGCCTTCAACGTTCGCACACTTATGCAGGTCGGACAACAGATAGGGCTGGCTATGTCTTTGGAAAGTCTTAATATTGACGTGTGTTGTCTATCCGAGACCCGTATTCAAGACTCTGGTGAAGTACTACAAGTCCGCTCTCCATCTGTCGCTTCAAAAAGCTTGTTTTATGTGCGTTTATCCGGGGACCCTGTGGCGTCTTCGTCTGGTCTTGCTGGCGTTGGTGTCGCACTAAGCGCTAGAGCTGAGGCAGCACTAATCGACTGGATCCCCATTAACAATCGGTTATGTGCTGTTAGATTAGAAAGTTCCATCAAAGTGAGAAGAAATCGGCGTGAGAAACGATGTCTTTTCGTCATCTCCGCCTATGCCCCGACAGATTGCAGCCCGGATGCAATCAAGGACGAGTTCTACCACCAGTTAACTGTTCTTCTCCAGAAAGTGCGTTCGACAGATATTGTAGTACTAGCCGGAGACTTGAACGCTCAGGTCGGGCGTCTAGGCACAGAAGAGAGTCGTTTAGGTGGCCCATGGGGACTCGTTGGTCGCAGGACAGATAACGGGGAACGTCTACTGCAACTATGCACAGACCACAACCTGTTTCTGGCTAGCACTAACTTTCGGCACAGTCATCGCCGATGTGCCACCTGGCGTCCTCCCTCTGCATCTCTAGCCTGGACTCAGATTGATCACATCGCGATCAGCTACCGCTGGCGTGGTTGTGTACAAGACTGCCGCTCCTTTTGGAGTACCTATCTGGAATCTGATCATGCTCTGGTCTGTGCCAATCTTACCTTACTTTTCAGTGGACAACGAAGTGACCGCCACCAAAGGATTGATGTTAGCAAGCTGGCTGCAACTTCTGTTGCTAGTAAGTACCGAACCGAGCTAGCTTCTAGGCTAGCTACCATTCCACCGAAAAGTGGATGAGATCAATGCACGTATAGTGAGTGTACCTTTTCGTCTCCCCCCATTATTGTTCTCTCTCTCTCTTTTTCTCCTTTCTCTTCAAATTCTCATTGTTTTGTGTGGCGCATATATATTTGGTGCCCTCTTGTACCAATATTTATGTGTTCAAATAAAATAAAATAAATGTAAGCTCTACTATTCCAAAGGCTTGTAACGATGTGGCTATGACAGTTTATCAATGTACACGTGTTGTTTTTGCAATTATATTTTTCTTACTAATGACATCTCTATCGTTACAAGAATGATGACTATGTGTATCCATTGATAATAAAACTATATTACAAAATACTGTCAGTTGTAACTACATTTCATTGGCATTATATCATCTGCACCATTAAAATTTTTGTAACGAATGTCCAATGGAAACAACATTTGAACGTCCTTTATAATAAAGTACCTTTCATGATATATAGCATTACTGTAAACTGGTGCATTATGTAATTAAATCTTCTTCAATGAGACCGTAAATCACTTTCGTTATTTAAATTAATTTCAATGATTAAGATCATGAGTCAGTTGAAGCTAGACTACCATTGAAAACCTGGAAGCACTACAATCTCCACAAAACCCCTTGTGACGATAAATTAATTTACCTTAAAACAATAATTGGTCCAGACAGAAAGAAAGTGTTAAACCATTTTCATCTATTTAATTTTTTCTTAACCCAGCAAATTCTTCTAAAAAATTGATTCCTAATTTTCTATCTGGAACACATGTCATTCGTAAAATACCAGTAGATAGAGAAAAAACTGCTACAGGTTTAATTAATCATACAATAGCATTGAATGAAACAAAATTTTTAAAATGGACACAGTTAGATTTAATTCATTATCAGTATAATTGCCATGATTTCGCCGAAGAACTCTATGAAAACGGAGAATTGTCATCAGAATCACAAGTAATATCTTCACCAACTATAAATACGAACGTTAGTTGTACAATAGATAGTTTGATGAAGTTAATACAAATCTATTTTGCATGTGCTCAGTACGATATTTTCGATTTGATATCACGAGATACTTTGCATGTTTTCGAAGTAAGTAAAATATTTTATTTGCCTTCAATTAAAGTATAAAAAGCCAGTAAATTTACTCTATTGAACTGCAAAAATATTGTTTATTCAGATACTGATTCATATATTACCTTGGAGAGGTAAAGAACAGTCATTAAAAATGTAGAACTCCTGATCACAACACTGAGTGATGTAGGTTAGAATCCTATAGGAATCATCAATATCTTATAGATTACGGATGCGTCAAGCTTTCGAGAACCAATTGGGATGAAGCGTAGGTCCTCTTGATTGCTAAAAGTACAGTAAAAGTATTTTCTTAATACCACATTGATTTTCTATACTTAGGATTGTTACGTTGTAAAAATTTTCGAATATAAAATTTCATAGCAATAATCAGTAAATAGAAGTCAAACCAAACTTAAAGTACTCATTATATTTAAAGCTTATCTCATGAAAAGAAGATGAACAGAATCCCGTTCGTTTTGGTTTCATAACTCAAATTAATTATCATGCATATGATGTACAGTTATGTAGCAAGAAACTCATACTGAAATCTGTTTTCTTTACATTGTACGGGATATAGTAGAAAGGTTAAAATATTATATCGTTTAGAATATAACTAACAAATTATTGGTAGCTTCTTAATTAGGAATAGTGCACCTAGTTTCCTTAAAGTTCGCTAACTATACTCTCCAGACATATTATTTAGTTATATTTATTACGACGATTAATGTTGATTTCTGTCACCTTTTATTCAGATAGTTCATGTAGATCTTTTAACTCTAAAATAATTCATAAGTCATAACAGTTTAGTGAACGAGAACACAAGCGGAGACAACTAAATGTATTTGAACACAAAATTACAGAGCGTTTTAGTAAAATCTGAGAACCAAACAGAAAATACTTCATTTGCAAAATGTTCATTAATTGTCTCAAGCTTCATTGTTCCTGCATTTCCATACCAATTACTTTCTATCCCCGTTCTTTCCTCTTCGATCTTCTCAACCTTCTGTGTCAGACTAGCGTTATATTACTGCTTATGTCGACATAAGTGGCACACACCATAGCAATAACGTGTTTTTGTAATTCTGTTCTTAAATAAATCTCTTTGATCTATTATGTATGAAATTGTTTTCTTTCTTGATTCTAATCGATATTCTAAATAAGAATTGTGCTATTCATTGACATTAATAAAGCAGAAATACAAACCCAATGATTTAACCGATTTAAATCGCTAAATTATTTCTTACCAACAGGAAAAACTATCAGATCTAATTAAAGAACAAGCACCTAAAGAATTTATACAACATATTCAGGCACAAATTGATACATTGGAATTACTTCGTGCATTACACTCTGCACAATTGTCAAGAAAAGTATTGAATAAAAACGAGATAATAGAGGATGTATTACAACCGCCGATTTTACAAGAAACTCCAGCAGCTAATTTAAGTAAAAGTTCTATGAAACAACAGGATATATCAAATTTGGTAAGTTCAAAGGAAGGTGTAATCTTTTTGAAACTTAAGTAATATATCGTCCAGTTAATTAAGACCGAACTCAAACAATTGTTAGAGCTGAACAGAATTTAGTTTGTTATTAATGACACTCACTTAGTAATGTGGTATGTCGGAGACTGGAATTGACAAAGTCTTACAGACTATCTATATTAGAACGTAAAGATTATGTTGATGAAAAAGAGGATTCAATCAGTATTTTGACCATCTTATAAGTTATCTTCCGATTAATAACGTTGTTGGGAAAAGATCCATCATTTCAATACCATATTTTGTGACCTATTTATATACCTTTTAAAGTATGGCTGGTACAAACTACGGAAGGCAAAGCCAAGAATTGACATTAGTTATCAATTTTCAAACTGAGCAGTGTAGGTAGGTGTGGACTACTTAGTTTGGGTGCTTGTGCTTATCATAACCAATAGTTAGAGACTTTGTAATATATGGCTGAATCGTCCCCCATGACTCGAACCTATTCACAGTTTATCTTTCCTTAGATCTTGAGCTCTAAGATATTTTTATACTTTTTATTCAGTGAATACGTTCTTTCTACTGAAACGATATCTTCTTTCTGCTACCATCAATACTGTTACTACATCTACTAGTCTGGGATTTGTCTTGATACTTTCGTGCTGATATATTTTAGTAACCTGAACCGATGAAATTACGTGATAGGTTCACTGTAGTTCATGACTGAGCAACTTTTATTCCGTCGGAATATATTGATTATAGTCCTTTATTTAGTGAGTAGATTAATATTTTATACATATCACTAGATAATTCATAAGTAAACAGTAAAGATAAAAATAAATGTTTGGAATTAACTTGTATGATAGTAAGTTATTTCAATGAAGCCTGATAAGTATTTAGAAAGATCTGCGCTTTCTATGTGAGATTAAAAAAGTGAATACCTAGGGGGTATTTTGTCGAGAATGAAAAATACTGTATCTTACAAATCTTAGTTCATCTTGTTATAGTTAGGAAGTAGATGCTTTTCGAATTTGTGTGAAAAATTGGTAATATTAAAAATACTCTGGGATCTAGCTGTTAGATCTTAAAGTAAAACATGAATACCCAAGAACAAAATACATCAAGGAAAGAATTACAAAAATTTCAAACTTAAGCACCAACTAACACACAAATAAACGGATACCAGTCACTTTATTCTAGTTTGACGTCAAACTGACTAGTCTTAAATGGAGAGAAACGCACGTTCTGGTTTCTTCTGCTGGTCATTATTAAACTTTGCCTAAAATGCTTGCCATCATTTTATTGTTTACTTAATTGGTATAGGCAATCGATTTCTTGGATAGTGATAAAGAAGTAAATTCAACTAGATTATTACACAATCAAACATTAATTTTAAGTAAGTTACATAAAACTTTAGTATCATATATATATATTTTTTAATAATCAGGCTTTTTACCAAAAGGTGTAATAAAATTAATACAAAAATTGGATAATTTCGTTAGGAAAATAGATGAAATTCAGGTAAATGTGAATATTGTTTTGTATTAAACGTTGTAATAGATCTCTATGTATGATAATGCAATTTTTATAGATATCATTGTAGTATTATGGGATTATTGTCATATATTCTGTCATAAATGGTTCATTCAGAGTCAATTGAAAATAGAGTATTTCAACACGATCAAAATGAAACTAATCGGAGTAAGTAAACATTAAAATTTGTTTCTTAAATATTAATCAATATAGAAAAAAGAAATCTGATTATTTCATACTTTTGTTTTTTTGACATTTCTAAATGACTAAGTAAAAAAATCTCTCATTGTAATAGAATCATTTGATAAAGCGATCTTCACTAAGATCGTTTAAATTAATGATATAAAAATGTTATCAGGAATTTAATCAATTCATTACCATGGAAGGCGATACATTTTATTAGTAAGGGGGTAAAATGAATAATATTTTGGTATGTGCTACTTAAATCGACATAAGTAGTATATGACGTTAGAAAGAGAATGTCTGGCAGCAGAGAAACAAGGGGATCGAACAGTAAAGAATGGAAACAGAATTCAATTTGTATGAAAATGTAAGAACAATGAAGTCTGAGTCATTTCGAAACAATTGATGGACACTTTGCAAATTAATCATTTACTATATGATTGTTAAATTTTATTAACAAGTCCTGTAATTTGTGTCAAATACATCCAATTGTCCCCACTCGTGTTCGTGTCCACTACAATATCATAGAATGTTCATTATCATAAATATAAATCATTTTACCTGGTTAAGTGAGTTGTTAAATGTGCTTATGAAAACACAGACATATTATGTAATTTTTAAACAGGAGATCTAATATAACAATTTATTTAAAGGTAATAAATCAAGTAATCTATATCTCATAACATGGGGATTTAGTTTTCAATTTTAATGAAAATATTGATTGTTTAAGTTGGATACCAGGTCATAGACAAATATTTTACGTCACTTTAGAGTGTAGAAAATCAAGTGGCATTCAGTCTAGCAACTTATTTTAAAATTCTTCTTTGGTTAGGAACACAATGTGACAATTGTGAAAAACCTATTTATTTATTTGAACATATAAATATTGGTACAAATGGGCACCAAATACATACACGCCACACAGTAACAATGAAAGTGTTAAGAGATAGAGAATGTAACGTGCGTATAAGAAAAAGAGGAACAATAACGAAAAGAAATTAGTGTATGATAGTGAAATAACAATAATGAGAGAAGCAGTTCAGTTAGCAAAGATACAGCCAGAAAGAATTCTTTCAATTCAAGAAGTTACGTCCCTTTTTTCTGAAGAAAGTAAAATCAAGTTACAGCAAGATCGCCACTGGCTTCTATTGCGAGCCATATCTGATAACGTCTCTAGCTACTGTGTTGTACCAGCTCTAGGGCCCCAACCAGGGAGTTGCGAAGGACCAACTGAAGTCGGTCCTGTACAGCTTTCTTTCATACCATGACATCATGTCATACACTGACAAGCTCTACGCTCTGTTATTAAAATGACAATAATTACTGCGAAAAACTAATATGATTTAATTAAAGATTTTTATAATAAGTGTCTTCGTGTTTGCAACATTAAATTTTATATAATACTGCACATTAGTTCCATAATACTTATAAGACTCCCTATAGAAACTTCACCATAATATAAATGATTTGTAGGAGGTCCTTTGAACAAAACTTATGTGCAAGGAGAATATATTCAAATTTGATTCAGACCGTAAACGAACAATATTAATTAAGATCAAAGGAGGAAATTAAATTACTTCCATTGAAATTTACTTATGCTATTGTTGCTAGTTAAAGTTGTCGAACATAACTCTTTTTTCAAGTTCTTATCATCAGCTGTGTTCATTACAGAAATTTGCATTACGTTATCTAAATTAAGGGCATAGTTGAAAGAAAACAGAGAATTACTGGATCAGTTAGTAACATAATTTTGTAAATGGAGCCTATAATAGTCCAAGACATTTAAAAAAACTGTAAACCATATGAACTCTTCAAGATAGCATAAATAAATAACTGCTAAATATGGTCAAAGCAGCCTAGAAATTATTTGTTTATGAGTTAGATATAAACAATTTGAATATTCAATTGATTACTTATTGTAAATTAGTTACTAATTACTTTAACTCTTCATATTCGATCAACTTATTGCCAAGGTTTTAATAATTATCCAAAATAGACATGAAAAATAGAATTAGTTTGTATGGGCATAAATGTATCTATTTCACGTTCAATTCAATTACATATTTGTAATATTAACATATAAAAACACATCACTTATGAATTCAATTTTCATTTTATTTAGATTCTTTATTTATTTAGTCTTATGAAGACCTTACTTGAATGGTTAAACATTGATGTAGCAGATGGTTTGATGTCCTGTAATCTCATATTTTATGTTATATGGATTATGGAAATGTTTGAGCAAAAATTATTTCTCCATCATAATTCTAGGAAAGAATCAAGTCAAAATGTTTTAGTAGATTCAATGAATATTAAATTATTATTAAAAGCATTAACGTTACAAATGAAACCAGATGATGTTTGTGGTAGGTTCAGAGTCCAATAAGTTTCATTTACTTGCTACAAATTTCAATATCAATTTCATTTTGTATTATTTATTTGTATCTTCTCATTGATGTTTAGGACTGCAATTGATCAGTCTGTTATTGACATATGTGCATCCTATGTGGATTGCCCCAATACTGTGTTTCGTCCTATTTGGTACTTGTTAGCTGGATGTACCTGCAACCCAGAGTGGATGTTTACGCAGCACGGTCCAGGTACATCCAGTTGACAAGTCCCAAATAGAACAAAATGAGCGTTCTGGATTCTACTGTCAGCCATCATCCATTTTGCTATTAGCTTGAATGTTCATTTTCAAACGAAAAAAAAATAATGTGTACGATATCTCAATGAATTGTATGTAAACCACGAATATTTTAAGCAAATTTACTTCGGAAAGTAATAGTCTCAAATGATAAATTATAAGATAGTTAATAGTATGAAAGCTAGTTGTTGGCCGAGAGAAAAAGTGGTAAATAAGTATAACTGTAAGTTATAAATAAATTAATCATTAACGGTTCCTCTCTCCTGCTTACTTAATGCATTGAGTATACAGTTTATCAAGCAAAAATGTGTGGTAACTCGAAGCAGTATGTATATTCATTATAAGAAAAGCGTAATGTTATGATTCCATTTCATATGCTTAAGCGTAGTACAGTTCATAAAATACGAAATTTGTGGATATTACTATTGTAGTGAACAAGAACACGAGTGGGGACAATCGAATGTATTTGACACGAAATTACAGAACATCTCACTAAAATCTGAGAACTATAGAGTAAATAGTTAATTTGAAAAATATCAATCCATCGTTTCAAACTTGACTGTTCCTTTTGCAAATATCAGTCGATTGTCTCAGATTTCATTGTTCATGCATTTCATACCAATTGTGTTCCGTTCCAGTTCTCTCCTTAACGATCTTCTACTGAAATACATTCTATGCCTGACCACCGTTATATACTACTTATGTGGATATAAGTAACCCACACCATACTATTACCTTGTATGAATTAGTGGCTTAAAAAAAGGTTAATTTTCTTTGTTTTGAATGATTCTTCTATCTAGAAAAATGTTTTGCATTTGATCATTTTATTCTCTATAACTGATGAATAAATTGTCTTTTAAATATTAAAAGTCATTAGAATATTCTTTCAGTCCATTAGTTTTCAGTTTCTGATTTATTAAAAGTAATACGCATTACGCAGAAGAGTAACCTGTAATTTATCTCATTACTGAATAACCTTTTGAAGAGTATTATAAATGAACCATTTCACTAATTAGTCATTAGATAGTTATTTATCTGTCAACGTTTTTTCTTCAAATCATAAAGTATACGTTTTTGTTTTTATATAGAAGCAACATTTTTTTTCTTAAAAATCTAGTGACTTTGTTATGTATTTCCTTAAGGTGCTACAGAATCCAATGAAAATGATAAGTTAGCCATATGTTTAATTGATCTTTGGACTGGTATATGGAATAAAGTAATGGATATAATTTACTGGTCACGTAATATGATTAGTAAAAGAATGATATTCCTTCAGATAAATCATGTAAGTATCACATGTAATATGATTTTATACAACATGGTTTTGAATAAAGAGTTGTTGTTAAAGATGCATTTAAGAATCCATAAATGTTGTTGTATAAGTTTGAATCATTCACAAATTCTTAATTGATAAAATACTAGTCGTGTTAGATCCCGATAAGCATAATGAATGGTAACTTTAGGATTCATTTATGGACCAATACTAAACGCATATTTTTATCGTATAATTGTCAAATAACTAAATTATTCATATTCCTCTTATTATAAGCTTTATTTTGACCTATGAATCATTATTATGCGATTTACCATTCTTGAATTATGCCCGGTCTATTAGTCACTGCCTCCCACATTCACAGCCACATTTGGCCAAATTTTGTACAAATGTTATTTTCTATTTTATGGTACGGTGTGGTCTGTTTGATTGGGATATAAAGCGAGTATGTTTGAAATGCGTGATTCATATCGCAGAGGCTCGGATTCTGGACTGAATTGGCTAGGCTAGGCAGGAAGCAGGACCAATCAGGACTCTAGGCTGCTCGTACGGGTTTTACGCGTCATTAATTCGATCGATAAGTCACTGCCCCCCAAATGGCGGTATCGTTACTTATCCATTGACAGGGCCACAAGTTATAACAAGTAGACTATCAAATTGTCCTCCATTAAAAAACAATCGCATCACCACAGAAGAATCAAATAAATAGATAATCCTCATATTCAGCAATTTCATTTATATATTAAATCAAGAATATAACAGTCAGTTTTGATGAATAACATAGAGTTATAAACAATGACAGATTTAAGTCCTTCTTCAATAGTACATTTTTGATCAAATGGTTGTAAAAGGAACTAAATCTAAATTGTTAACAACTGAAATATGAGTGAAATAATGACAATATTTAATTATTTATTATTTAACACCAGATTCATAACATTTAATTATTTGTTTGTTTAGTCAAAATGTAAAATACTACTTATTATTATAATCATGATACCAGTTTTATATCTATGGAGTAACTTGAGTACATTTTTGAAATAGAATTTTAAATAAGTAAAAAAGTTTCTCTATTCAATTTCTTATTTTCAAATTACTGTGGGCCATAGTTATTACTATAAACAAAGTTTAACTAATGACCAAATGATTATGATTTTAAAGGACTTACCATTGAACATTGAATTTATTCTGTTCGATTAACGTTCAGTTTTTATTAAACCTGATCAGATGACATTAATTTTGTTAATTTATTGAGGTTTTGAAGTCCAAGTGTACAAAATAAATAAAGGGGCGAGACTATAATTTATGGACGGACCAATCACGTATAAGATAACTGGTCTCGAATTTTGGCGCGAAATTCACTCATCCATTTAGATAAATAGTTTTGGCTTTATAGCTGATGTTAGATCGTGATGAAAACCCGCAATCGCATTCCTAAGCTTAATCATCAACTATAAATTATAATGATAATTCCCCACACAGGTTCATAATCCTCATTTAGTCTTGGTTATTAACAGGATATTCTCAAGGTCAATCTAGCGTCGCTCAAAGACCGTACATAAATTATAGTCTCACCGATTAAGCTCTAAAATATATGTCAGCTCGTAGATTATCATTATGAGCTTAACGCTGAGAATTGTTTTTATTATATAAAAAATCAAGCCGAAGAATTTGGAAATTAATAGTCTTGCAGAGCTACAAGTTGAACTGTTATGGTTCGAGCAAACAATCCGATGGAAACTTCGAAATTTAGGTAAGTCTGTACAAATTATTTATATACAATAATAGTCAGGGCTTGGTGAGTTATAGGAACAATTTGAATGGTTTAATATTTGTTCTTTTACATCCTGATTAACCATGGAATCCAAGATAATTGTTTCTCTTAACTTAATATCGTCGTAATGAAATGCATTTACATTTCAACAGTGATATGTCCCTCAAAATCTGAACCGAATGTTCACTTAAAACACGTTTTTTGGACAGTTTGGTGTTTTGAGAACAGAATGGAAATTAAATATATAAGAATCTTAAATTATTATTTAAATAAGGAAAAAACTGTCTAGTTTTACACAAACATGTATTTGCAGTTCTCTTCAGGTATTTCATACAAGATAGAACTTTAACAGGCTTTTGAAATTATTCGTAATAAGAATTAATATATGACAGACTTAACGCAAAATTTCTACATAATTGTGACGTTGAAGCTTTTTTGTATCGATTTATTTCTTTGCAAAATGATATATGCTTAAGTGTCTAGTGGCGAACGACTAATCAAATATGTAGATTTCTATCTTCAAAGAGAAGGCGCTTTCGCTGAAATTACTAATAGTAGGAATGTTTATATAGCCTAAGCGCTAAAGTTAACTTTATATCGTTGTTATCTAGGTTCACAGAGAAAGATCATCACTTATATTCACTTGAATGATAACTTGATAACAATACAAAATTGTGTTGAATAAACATGAAATTCACCTTCGTTTTTTTTCTAAAATATTTCAGATTGGTTAACGTGGTGTGATGTGAATGAAATGTCCAGAGAAAAAGTGGACAAGAAAATTGAACAAATGGATGAAAATTTACTTAAACAATGTGGTCGAAATAAAATGTCTAAAGTATTTTACTATTGTCTTAAAGCAGAAACTGAAGTAAACAATGAAACAGCTAAAAAATATTACAAGGTGAAGATTATTGTTAATCGATAGAAATTGTTTATAACGGTGTATTGTTTTATTTCATGAATTGAATGGTACCTTTTTTTTTAGCGTGGATCCATGAACATAAATTATAAAAGCAATGAACTTGTCCTTATTGAGGTAACTGCAAAACGTTTGGCTGTTGGATAAGTTAGTGATCAGTACTAAGCAAAAGAAAGAACAGAAATCTTTATTTCTTTATTCTTTCTAAATTTTTATTTGACATTCCATAAAAAGACAACTGGATAAACAGGATAAAGGATAATTTGTGTCAAATATTACTTTAAACACAGGCCTTTCAGTCAATCTTCATGAATGAAAGCGAAACTTCTAAAATAATCGTATATCAAAGGTCGAATACTAATTGCATTTGGCATATGTATATTTCAGACATAATAGTATTAAAAAGCGGATAAATAACAAAAGGTGCAACGATTGCATAAAGCACTGAAGATCTATGATATAGGGACTCAGAATAATATGATTCAGTTCTTATGTTATTTAAAAAAATGTGGAAAGTGGGTAGATATGAGTGTACTATCATACACACATGTACAAAACACTCTCAGGGCTACGCGTGAGTAACTGGCAAGGGAAAATATAATTGGTTACAGAATAAATAGAAAACTTAAAGAAACTTATCTGTCAAAGGTTATGATAAAATCATGGAGACTTGTAACGATACTTATTGTTGCTCAAAATGAATCCAATCGCTTTCTGCTTGAATTACACGTGAAGAGTAAGGGTTAATGAAAATATCTAGCTAATTATCAACCACATATATGAATACATTCATGGTATAGTGAAACATGTATGGTATTTATTTGTCATATTATGATTTCATCATTATTCCTTATTATCCAACAGATTGCCGAAAAATTACTATTCAATAAATGGTTAAATGAATCCCATTTCATTACGAGTAAAGAAATTAGCAATTGTGAACAATCAACTGGTTTGAGTAAGCCACATGAAAATACACTGGCTACTGAAAAGTTTCGGTCTGATCGACCACCACCACCTATAGTGATTGCTAAATGTGAAAATTCAATGGTATTTCAAACACAAAAGTGGAATCCATCATCTGGAGAACAGGTAATTTGAAAATATTTATACAAAAAATCGAGTAACTTTACTGGTTTTCATGAGAGAGTACATTTTAATGGTATGAAGAAATTTAACTGGAATTCATAGAGGAAAGTCTCTTGTTCCATTAAATCTTTAGGTGCAATAAGATCATATCATATTAGCTTTCAGTTATGATGATTTATCATACTTTATAAAAAAAATAACAGCAACTAAATGCTTGGTGCTTTTATACTCAGTTTAGTAATATCTCATCAACACAATGATTTCTTCATTTCTTTAAATATTAGAACACGGAGATATTTCGAAAGCTTTGAAATGTTAATAAATCATTTCATATACGTTCTTGGCTGTTTATTGCTGTGAAATCTTGAACTAGGACGAAGCAATTATCCAGTCCCCCTTCCCAGTATTTTCAACAGCATTTTAGCTAAAGTTAGACGGTGATGTAAACCATCTTTATTGTCTTATGTCTAAAAACCAAATAATTAGCAATTGAAATAGAAAATAACCATGTTAACCAATAAAGCAAATAACAATGAAATAAACTTTCTTAATCATGACACTTACAAACTATATAACATAGACTTTACTTCAAACGTTTCCACTTAATGACACTGAACGTTCATGGTCATTTTATATTTTTAGGTTCATTTTTATGCACTATACGGAAAACAGACATTTGTATCCAACCAGAAAGTTCACATCACTGATAATAAGTTAACCAATACCGGGATTTTGGTAAGAAAAAACAATTTATTTGTTGTTATTAACTTATTACATTTTGTGATAGCGTTTCTTGAATTCATGCTTTCTTTAAAAAAATTTTTTTTTAGTTTATTGCACACCATTACGTCAAACCTTCGTACGTTTGGCTTTGTTTCATCTCTTTAAGCCTGAATAAACATTTGCCGACACATACTATGTTCATATACTAGTGAATATTTAAAATGTTGAACAAATACTCAGAAGTGCTGATCTAATATGCAGCTTTACATGACTTGGAAGATCTTTCTTATGAATGTAACACATTTCATGAGGTACAGGTTTATGTACCGAGCATTCTGAACTGAAGTAAATGGTGAAAAGTGGAAACCTATGATTTATTAATTGTTAACGTTTCATGTTCTAATCTTGTTACATTTTATTCAGCGATGGACATTAAGTTTTATATCAATAATCTGGACGTTTCCGAACATCATTGAACATATGGTTTTTAACTTTCATTTATACATTTTTTTCATGAATCAATTGTTTTTCTTTCCATACTAGACGAACTGCAAACAACTTAAGAAGATAAGTTTTGTGACAAATCTGTTATTAAGACTGAAGGTTTGCTTTCCATTCATGAGATGAAACCTATTTTTTGTATGGCAAAAATATTTAATTGGTTCAAACTGATCACAGTCAGATAGTTTGTAGATGTGATCACAATTCCAAACGGTTTATGAAGCTACTCATATGAATGTGCACGTAAACAACTTCATAATAATACGAATTTTAATAGACTTTTACAGTATGCTCTAAACTTTTCCAGTCTGGGATAATTAATGTTATTCGTAAATCCGTTTAGCTAATAAACATCTAATCACTGTTCGGCATACTTTTCTAATTCTTTTTTAGGTCATCTGTAATAATGGTTCCAGTGTTTTAAAAGTGACCGATCTAACACCAAATGAAGAATATGCCTTTGCTGTTGCGGCTTACAATAAAGAAGGTCACCCGATAGGATCACATAAACATGGTTTAGGTCACAGTACAAAACCAGTTTTAGCTTATTCTTCGCTATGCATTTATACGGGGTTATGTCATCTTCTGCAGGTGAATTATTTTTTTAAAAAAAAAAGAAAATTAAATACAAGCAGTTTTTCGACTGATTATAACAAACATCAATAAGTTTAGAATTTAGTTTTAAGGGTTTGAGTTCACAAGTTACTGTCTATTTGGATCCAGTCACTCAGTGAATAACGTATAGATGTTCAAAATGAAAGGCACTAGGTTTGTGTTTGCAACGAATATTAACACTGAGATGTAGGTACACTCAGCTGAAGAGTGAAAAATATGAAGAAACATGAGTCTTCTGTACCACTATTAGCCACTACCCAAAACTACAACTTTTTCTCAATAAATTGTCCAAGTCAGCAGCAGTTACTTGTGAGCTAATTGAGATTTGTAAATTTTGTTTGATTAACTATCATGAAGATTAGATCTGGTCCTAATAACTTGAATAGTTCTTTTTTAGAGTCTTACTATAGTGTATAGAGAGTTGTAAACTTGGATACTTGTCTTATTTGTGATAAAATTAACATGAAACCTTGTGTGTTTCCTAAGATACAATTATACTTATATTTCTACAGAGATATAAGAGTGATAAATTTTTTTTAATGACAGTCTTGATCTAATAGTATAGTGTATAAAAATAGCTATACCTATACATAATTTTTTGTTTGCAGGTACGGACACTCAGTTTAGGAAACAGATATAAAACAACTTGTCAACAGATTACTGAATTTCTAATGAAAAAGTAACAATGTTCATTACTGTCTACTTTATTCAGAGAAAGTTATTAGGCTACTATGCGATTTGAAGTAGTAAAGATTACTATTATCTGTTTATAAATATTAACGTAGTAATTCAACCACAAATTGTTCTAAATTCAAAGGAGCACGACAAACGTTTGGTACTAAAATCTTTAAATCATATTTATATCAAGAGAGAATATATAATAATTCAAGTAGAGATATTCAAGTGCATATTAAAATGGATCACGCACTGTCATAGTGGTGAACTTATAATCTTAAAGGAGCTGATGTTCACTGAGTGATTCAAAGCTGTATTAATCGGTTTCACAAATTAACGCTGAGCTATTCGAATCGCGATTGACCTTTTGATTACAAGTACATCGGCCACTAAGTAGTAACCAACCAATTATATATATAATCTTACACTTAAAATTAATTTACTGCAGTAATTCCCTTTTTTACTGAATCGTCCAAGTTAGTTAGCCATTCATTTTCTTTTATATAGTCGGCGTTTCGACGTAATCTATCCCAATGTCTGATGGTTCAATCAGTCAACATAATCTGGGAATATTTAACGGAGAAATATGATACAATAGATGATGATAAGTCAACTCACCTAACTGGTTTAAAGTATGTTGAAAATTGCTATTAAATTAACATGATACCTTTTATTCAACATAGGTTGAAAGAACTAAATAGTTTCCAATGTTCAAGCATATTATTGAAGCACCTAACGACATGTATTTTATGGCACTGCTCATTTAATCAGAAGTCTGAAAATCTACGTTCGTGTAAATTTGATAATTCCACTTATTTGTTGGACAAACAAGTAAGACTATCGTTAACGATTTCATACCTTGAAAAAACGTTAAAAAAATTCACGTATAATTAGGTGATTTGATGTGAGAATAGGTCGATCATTTTATTTTATTTGAATAATTTAGTAATTTATTAAACTTGATGGGTAATTCACTGTATCAAGGATTTAGCACATATTTCCAATAAACAAAGGGATGTTCACAGTGAATATATCCCTGATCATTTTACACGATGATGCTTTCGACAAAGGCCACAGAAAATTCAATCTTGCTGTGCTAATGCGGTATGGCAACTTGGACCGATGAATATATATGCCTGGTCCTAAGTTGTAGCTGACTGACTTCATTAGAAAAAGTTGTTAGGCTTGGTTATCTTTTCACATGATGATATGAAATAAGGACTTTAAAACTAACAATTTTCATCAAGACATGGATTGCGGGATGAAAGTATTGAATTTCGTTTCAAGTGTAAAAATCAGAACATTATATATATATATATATATATATATATATATATATATATATATATATCCTAAATGTCCCCTAATTTCTAGCTTTAACCTCTAATCTTAATTTCTCCGTTCGAATCCCAAACCCTGATTCTATTACTTAAATCATAGTCCTAGCACTATAGATCACTCATTCATGACTGCATAGGTCAGGAATTTATCAATGTTATGTAAAACGTTCTGAAGCTCTCATTTATACTTGAGGTTAGCTATAAAAATTTATTTAAGTTTTGTTTAGGTAAGAATGCTGAATATAGATTGAATATATACTGGCGTAAAAAGAAGTTATACATACATGTAATCTGAAATGAGGTAGTGTAGTTCAGTCTAAAAAGTTTCGACTTAAGTCATTTAACATTGTTATTTGAATGATTATAATTGTAAATTGTTCTTTAAATACATTTAGTGATAGGAGGCTGATAAATGTAAGGAAATAGGGTAGATCATGATCTAGTGAGTAAATTTATAAGTGAGTTAAATAGGAAGAAACTACTATTTACCACAGATATGAGGTAATCTTTACTTTAAATTCAGATTTTAGCTGAATGAATATAATTGATCGGATCAAAATTTTTTCTTTTACTTCTATTAAATTAATGCCATTTAATAATTTATTTGTTGGTATACTCTGATATTAATTTTTACTCTATTTTCTAACAGATTCAGAAAATCCATTTGTCTGAAAAGTTGATAATTGGTTTAGAGTTAAGCGCTAAATTGAATGATGTGCAACTATTGCTAGATTTTGCTAATCTGATCTACGAAACATTGAGTTTTAACATAAAAATGAGTTCTGTAACGTATGATTATGCTAAGGTTAGTAAATAATAATGAAAAAATATGATAGAAAGTTGGTTTCTACTAACAAATATTCTTGCAAGTTTTCGTTATTATAGTTAGCTTATATTAGTGTTGGCTCATCAGTTCAACAACTTCAAAAGTAACTCAGTTACCTTCCAATGGCTCTGGATAATTGTTGTAAAATAGAGGGAAGTGATTGAAATTAGATGTACAAATTATTCGATTTAAACTTAGTAATCCTGAATTTATTTATTTTATTTATTTATTTATGGCTTTATTCAATATTATATTTTGGTACAATATAGAATTCTCAGCACAAAAATATTTCAACAAGTTTCTTTTACAGAAAATAAAACAGCTAATAATAAAAAATATCTGAAAAAAACTGTACAACTTTTCAATTAGTGTCATATTAAGAATGCAGATTATTGACTAGGTTAGCTCTAACAACCTGTTCGTCACAGAGTACATTTGCTAGGTAAGGTATTATAGAACGTTTATACTTTTGCTTGCGTGCTTGGATTTTAATGTAATTTCGTCTCGTTCTACCAGAAGATATACAAGGAGAAAGATATGAGTGAAGGGGATGGTTAGTATCTGATAAAATAACATCTGCCAGGAGTTTGCATGACTTTAGATGCCTATCCAAAATCATATTAATTATGGTCTCGAAAGATTCACCACATAACTTGCTAACTGCCTTCAGCGCTCTCCGCAGTACAGCAAAGTCTTTTCTCAAAAGCCCGGGAAAGAATAACGGAGAACAGTAAAGAATAATAGGTAATATGCAAGAATTGACAAATTGTAGGAGTAAATGACGAGTGATCCCAAAAGCATGCAATCTCTTAATGTAGTAAGTCAGACGGAAAACTTTCTTCGATAACAATAAATCGTGAGGAGACCAAGAGAGATCAGAGGAAAAGGTAACACCAAGATAATTGACCGTCGACACTGTGTTTATCAAAGAGTCGCCAATGGCACAAGCATTATGAGATCTCAAAAAGGTGTTTAAATGCCGATCATGTCTCATGCTAAAGTTAACAGCTTGACATTTAGACGGATTAAGTATGAGACCATTAACAACAGATCAACTATCAATGCGAGACCAAAACTCGTTCATTTTTATAGGATGTAAAGAGGAAGAGATAGGCATACAAACAGTGAGATCGTCTGCATATTTCACGAAAGTGTTTACTGTGGAAGATGGCAGATCATGCAGAAAAAAAGAGAAAAGAAGAGGTGAAAGAACAGCTCCTTGTGGTACACCTTCATAAGACACTAGAGACTCTGAACACTTTCCTCCAAACACCGTGTACTGTTCCCTTCCAGAGAGGTAGGAACATAGCCAGTTGGTTATCCAGCTGTCAGTGTTGACGCTGATTAACTTGTTAAGTAAACGTTGTCTTGATATAGAATCAAAAGCAGAAGTATAGTCCAGGAAAGCGCACCGAACATACTTCTTACCCTTTTCCAGGTTGAACACTATATTATGATGCAGAACAGCAACAGCATCTAGGGTGCTTCTTTTGCATCTGTAAGCAAACTGATACTGGTCAATGTGCTCTTTTATCGCAGGCTGAAGTGAAAGTGTCAATAATTTTTCCATTGCTTTGAGGAAGGGTGAAGTTATCGCAATGGGTCTGAATTTCACATTCTTATCACTAGATGCTTTCTTGGGTATAGGAATTATCTTCATCTTTCTCCACATTTTCGGTATGAGATTAGAAGAGAATGATCTATTAAGGATAGTAGTGAATGGATAGCATAGGACGTCAGCACACTTTTTAAAAAGAAGGTTTGGGATACCATCAGGTCCCAAACATCGGGATGAATTTAGTGACTGGAGACATTTTCGGACATCAGTTTCGGTGAAACTAGGAACACAGCTATGTTTTAAGCCCGTGAATAAAGGGAGCATCACATCAGATGATTGGCGTAAAAAGGACTTATTTAAGTCACAAACATCCAGCTGGTTATCGGTCCTATTCTGTCTGTCACCTGTAAGTTCTTTAAAGTTTCCACATACTTGAAGAGTTTTTACAAGACAAGAGTTTTTGAGCAAACATAATGTTGAGACGACTAATCTCGAGGTTTATCAGACCATTTAGCTTACGAACTTCGCTAGAGTTTTTCTCCTTGTACATTCTTTCTTTCACCCTCCGTAGTCGTTTTAGTTGTGAAGATGTAAGTCGATCAAAACTTACAAAAATAGTTTCAGTGGGACAACAAATATCAAAACAGAATTTAAGGTAACAAGTGATAACATCAGAAGTGATTTCCAGTGAGTCATCTGTAAATAATTCCAAGTTAGTCGTATGAAACATGTTTTTCAGATTTCGGATATTGTCACGATGCCTGAAGATCTCAGGTCTAAGCCCAGATGAAGCTGTGGGCACACATTGGTAAGACGTCCTATGTCAAAATAAAACAGCTATTCAGTGTTTCTTAGTTTTCAATGGAAGTATAGCTACAACCAGCCCGAGATGTAAACTACAAAATATTGAAGCCATTGATGATTAAAATAAGTGATACAGTACAATCGTTTTCGTACATATTATATTTTGTGAGATATTATAGACTGGTTCATCTATCTCAAATATAAGTCAGCATAATATTGTCAGGTGATTTAAAATGTCTAGATACATTACTGGGATTAAATACAATGCAACAAAATAGCTCCTAATATCACTTATATGGTTTTCAACAAGCAAACATGAAACAATGTGTGGTATATATATATATATATATATATATATATATATATATATATATAATTGTAAAACATATAATGTTAGTAGCTTATTAATTTAATATAAAATGATCTTTACGATTTTAGATCCTATTAAAATCATTAACAATAATTGTTGGTGTTAGAAAATGTACTGCAAAATTAATATTAGATGAAACATTGAGTAGAAAACTGACTGAAATAATGATCAAGTTTACATTTGAATTAATTAAAGTTTTCGAAGTGCTAAATGAACTTAAAGGTATTGTTACAATATTGAAAATTGTAAAAGTCACATTAAATCAATTAATGAAAGGTAAGTAATATGGAGAATTACTATTGAATGGTTAACTTTTAAAGAGAGTAAGAACGAAGATTGGTGCAGAATAATATGGATTCCTTATACTTCATTAGGTTCTCATCAGCTGCTTACAACCTAAATTATTTTAAAATCAACGTTATCACAGATATTGACATACTTATACATGAGAGGGTGTGAAAGATAAATATATGTATCATGATGTAGCGAAGATTCCAACGGAGTTAATAAGGTCATAAAATTTTTGTTTCGGATAAATAAAGTTTGAGATGGAAAGTTTCAGAACATTGATATAGTGAATAGAACTCATGAAATCAATAAACATTATATGATTGTGTAATGAAGCAACTGTAAATAGATTAATGCTAATAGAGAAAGATATGAATTGAAGAAAAATGACAATGATATATTTTAAACTTCAGAAAGGGTTGAAATAATGAATGACGTAATAAATAAGAAAGAAGAGGTTTAATGTTAATAGGGCAAAGGAAGATTTATTACTGCCTCTTTTTTGGTACATAAATCTGGTTTTAGACACTTGATTGATATCGCTTCGGTAAATTTTTAAAGCTTGGAGTTTGATTGTTCGTCAATGACCTTGAAAGACTTTTAATTGTTGAATGACTATTCGGAAATAAATTTATTAACATTTAATTAAAACTTTTAAGTTATTATTTTACTTAACTGATGAACAATAACTTAATCTAATTGGTTAATTGACAGTAGACATTCGCCATTGTGAAGAATATTTAATAGTGATTGATACAGTTGTTTAAATGGATAAATATATTGTTCTTCAGGGAAACTGAAGATACCTTAGTTTTTTTTGTGAACTTAATTCATTTGAAGTAATTCTCACTTAGGTAAACAATTTAACAAAACGCCAAGCACAGAATATTTGTAATTCATTATCAGAATGACTATGTTGTGCATTATGAAGGGGAATTGTTTATCGAACACCACGGGCGTTTATGAAATGTGTGGAATAAAGTTAATTAGCTCTTATTATAGACTGATATTTTCATGTAGTACTGAAAGAAATAGAACTACATTCAGTTGGTGTCATTAAATTGGAGCAGTACACTCAACACAGTCTTATTTGGGGATCCATATGAATCTTGAGAGTTAATAGCGTTTGGAAGATCCTCGATATGTAGATCTTCTCGGTTTCCTTAAATTACATAGGTATGTATATGGTAACATAAGAGAAAAAAAAGGAAAGCTCAGAAACAAACAGTAATCAAAGTAACTTGTACTTGAAATACGAAAATAAATGCAATAGGTTACAATCACACCTGGAGTTCTGTTAAACAGTTTTTGTGATGTCAGATAACTCGGAAATAATAACCATATATCTAAAATTTATATTTTTTCCTGGGATTTTGTTGCCCTAGTTTACATATCGGCCTACCTTTATTTTTCATTCGTACAGATATCAAACCAAGCATTGACGTGTCAACAAAAAAACGGGTTTCTCAGGGTAAACAAAGTTCGAGTTATTTAACAGGACGAAGAAAATCAAGGCAGAATACCGATCAAATGGATGAATTAAACTCAGCCATTAAAACAATAGATGCTTATAGTTATCTAGTTACAGCTAAATTAAGTGAGTATAAACCTTGGTTCTTAGTTTTCTTGAAAAATAGCAAATACAACTTTAGCAGGATACATATCTTCATATATACACATGTTGCTTTTTTCAGAGAATTAGGTCATCTTTGCCAGTCAAAACACTAGGAATCAAGCGGTCTGTCAACGAGACTGAATTTGTTTAAGGGATCCATAAATAAGTTGTTAGACGTCAGCAATTACTCCTTCAATTTAACTTATGCTGGACAATTCCTGTTGGATACATTTATTGGAAAGATAAAAGTAATTATACCTCTCTGACAATAACTTAAGAACCTAAAAATCGTTTGTCTTCAGCTATTCTTTAATTGGAAATTAAATTTTATAGTTTACTTCAAGCAATGATCATAGTTGAACAACCGATGGAAATCAGGAAGCGCTGGACATCTAATTCTTTCTATCTTGAGACCCCTCATAAGTGTACATCCACGGCTCCAGACGAGATTCGCTCTTTTTAACACTTGCCTAAGGTCAGAGATATAAGCTGTGAAATTCTATAATCTCTGCGGATCTTCTATACTGAGAGTAGTGAACTATTCATTTTGCAGCGTAACACTTTAAATTAGTAATTTTAGATAAATAAATTATTCTGTAGCATTCATTTAAATGGCTACTAAAATTATGATTTGTTTATTAACTGTATGTTTATTCACAAAGTAAATGCTTTATCTCATTCGGTTACCTAGATCCTCCAAGAGGAGAATTATTTGGTTATGAAGATGAATATCAAGTGATTGCATGTATGGCAACTAAACCAATAAAAGCTGCAATAAAAGATGGTGAGTTCAAGGGATCTGTTGATCATGTTAAAAAAAACCAGGAGCTAACAAAATCATGTGTTATATATGCCCAGTAGTGATAAGAAAAAGATTCT